AAATGATGTCAATCATTCTATGAACATACTTGTTAAATTAATTGGCTTATCTGATAATTTGCCCGTGGAGGTAAGGCATAATATTGACCTGGAGCTGACCCCTTATTTTGACCATATAATTCCGCCAAAGAAAGAATGTCCTCTTCGTAGAGTTTACAGATATCTGCCTGGCAATAATCTGATCGTTATGAGGGCCGACAAAGGTGGAGCTGTGATAGTTGTGGATAGGTCAATTTATGCAGAAAAAATGCTAGTTCATTTCAATGACATTGGCACGATTAAGTCTTTACTGAGTGATCCAACAGAAAGACTTAAGTCTAGGCTAAAGTCGTGTGGTATGCGTAAGTAATGGTGAAATGGAGAAATGAAAAATGAATTCACTACTCCAAAGACATGCACGGGCCCCCACGGCTTATGGTCGCCATAAGATTCACAAGAATAATTATAACTAATAAAAGAAGCTTGAGGCATAAAATCTCGCCTTTTTAATGCATACAACTAAAGAAAATGGCCGATTTTTGGCTAAATTCAGTTAAAAATTCTTATGAGTCTGTAAAATTAGTTGATCAGCAAATTAATTCAGAAGATAGGCTAGTAACTTTTGATGTTGTGTCCATGTACACAAACATTCATGTTCAAGGAGCTATTCAAGCTCTGGTACAAACTCTGCTTATGGTAGGTCTGTTGTTAAAGGAAAGATAAGAGAGTCTATTGAAATTAATAGATTAAGGAATACGTTAATTGTGAGGAACAGTGGTAGAAAGTTGGGCAAGAACTACTTATGCTTGAGTGATATATAGAAGAAGAGAGTGTTGAGCCGCCGTCCAAAAGGCGACTCAACCTGTCTGCTCAGTGATGGTTGTAACTTCACTCACACTCGTCCAAAATGTTAGATTAAGCTCATCATCCAAACGAGACCTACGAGATTAAACAGCCCCAATCATGCCTTTCCTCAGGTAGTTAAACGTTAATGACCCTAGACAGAGAAGTTAGGATAATTAGCTTAGTAACTTGACTTAAACACTTACAATCTTGCATCTCATTATCTCAAATGAACTGGCTTACGGACTTACGCAGTCTCAGTCAAGGCTTTTTTTGGGTCATTAAGCATTGATGACCAGAACCCGATATTGTTTTTTTTGTATATACGAAGAGCAACAGGGTTTCGATGAATCTTCTGAGAAAACACAGTTGGGAGGACTTTCACTTCGTATGAAAGTGCATGAAGAAGAGATTCGTAGGTCAATCTCACCAGAAGAGGAGGAATGAATCCCGTTGTACTGCAGCCGTCCTCATCTGGTGAGATCGACCTATGAATCTCTTCTTCATTTACTTTAATACGAAATTAAATTTCCCCAACAATGTTATCTCAGGAGATTGATCAGAACCCAATTACTCTTCGTATTTACAACATTTTCACCGGAATCAAACTAGATTGCCTCGTAATCAGCCTCAATCAGAATGTTCCGGTAAAGCAAATTGACAGCTGGCTAAGAGGAATCCGCCATCGTCTTTTGGTTGGATCGACCTGCGAATCTCTTCACCAAACACTTTTGCCCGAAATGAAAGTAAGCTAAAACTATATGAACTAGAGATTCCTCGAAACCCAACATTTATTCGCATAAATAATTATACTCTATCCTGAGAATCAACCGTATTTATTAATTTTTTTTAACAACAGTCTGAAAGTTGCCTCTGACGGGTTGTAGCTTGGTGTTGAAAATGACACGACTCTCTAACGACGTTAGTGAAACGTCTGGGAATGGACAGAGTCCACGATCCATTGCTGGGGACCCACATAACTATTATAGTTGAGGATTTCGTACAGGTTGCCTCCAAACGGGTCCCCCTGACAACATGGCCAAGATGCCAAAACGAGGTCAGACCACTTCTATAAAGCGAAAACAGACTGTGACCAAAATAGGGGCCACAACATCTTGGTCTTCCTATTAAGTTTTGTTAGTTAAAGCGATGGAATATACAGACAATTTCTTTTCCTACCAGTATAACAAGAAAATGGTGATCTTTCTTTTATTGGAGATTATGAATTGTGCCTATATTTATGTGTTTCATGCATTGCAAGAAATGTGATTCTATAGAGACTCATTTCATGGCAAAAAATGTACTGCAACACACCTTATGCAGAGAGGCCATAATATCTTGGTATTCATATATAAGATTAGACCACATATTGCTTATAAAGAGTGGGAATAAGTTAGTTACTATGCGCTCCTCGACGAATTTGTTTTGAAAAGAAGGAAAGTCTAGAACTTAGAGAATCCTACTAGGTCAACAACATTACATAACTGAGAAATAAAAAGGGGCAGCAAACCATCGTTTCATACAGAGTTATTTAAGATAGATGGACGTTAGCGAACGACTTATGAAGAGATTGGGCGTGGTAATGGTAAATAGAGGAATAGGGGAATTTGAGCCATCTGCAGTAGAAGAGTTTTCTCTTAAAAACATTCCACCACAGATAAACTTTTGAGATTCGGATGGACGTCACATCGATTTATTCGAAACATATTAATTGTCTTTAATCACTCATATTTTTCCAGCCTGCTAAATTACTCCACTTCGTTTTTATAAGTTGCCGGAACTGTATCACTGACCTAACTTCCGCTTAGCAACTGCCACCAGAGGCCTTTTTAAGTATTTTCACCTGAAACGAATTGTTGGTGCCTCGGTGATCAATGTCGTGACAGAGAGAAGCAACAAATATTGCGATTGCTTCCAGCTCGGTTAGTTGATTCTCCATCAGCGGCAATCGGCGCAGGCATAGATAAATGAAGTGGGCCACCGTATATGCATGCGTCCAGTTGTGGTAGGGTGGGTCCCGGTATCCACGTCGAGCCATCAGCAGGAAACGGGCCAGGGTTAGGCGGGTTGTCTTTAACCGAGCTTCCAATTTTAGGTTGTCACACATTCGAAGTACTGCCTAGAGTAAGCAAAAACGGTAAAAGTTTTCAACGTAGCTAAATATATTTTGATGGCCTTGGATTTACATTATTTGCTGCATAACCATTCTCTTTCAACTACAACAACTCAGGTATCGGAGGTGACGTCCAACTTCTATCTCATCGGGGTGCGAAAATAGATATTACAAGCTCCTTATGTTCACTCGTGTTAATAACAAGGAAACTTAATTGAAAGTACATTGAGTCAATCGAGTACAAACTCATTGATCTCATCTCCATAATGTGAGCTTTCAATATTTTAATCAAAAGTTAGTATTGTTTTAGCCAACTTACTTTTTCCTACATTTAATCCCACTTTTCCTCCCAATGGCAGTTCACAATGAGTGAGGTTTGGAATGTGAATACACGTGAAAATACGTTAGGAAACGGTACACATATACAATTAAGACAATCATTTATGAATTAGCTCTTTAAGTAGGAAATCTCAGCTCATTCTGCTCCATATCACTTGTCCTGCTCAAATTTATCCTTACGCTTAACGCTTTATTCAACTCGCTTAACAGTCTACTTACTCCGAAACGACAATTTTATATTGATCACGTATACACACATGAATAATAGGATTATTCTGCATCTCATAGCTTCGCCAATATTATTTTCACGAATAGGATAAAAAGCAAGCCACTTGCAAGCCTCGGAAGCCAACTTTATGGTAGTACGAATAAAAAGCTTGATTTGGAAATCAATCCACCCACCACTTCTACTCAGTTCATTCGGGATGTAAGTGAAGTTCCTTTTCTTGTCAGATCTCTGGTGAAAGTTGAAGAAATTACAATAAGATATCCTCATTCTATTTCGTCAAGGGTGATAAGAGTAGTTGAATTTCCCCACAGCGTAATGGC